ACGGCTAGTGCAGATAGCCCTCGTGTAGCTTTGCGCGAAATTCAAAACAAACAAACAAACAAACACTGTCAGCTATGCATTATAATTAATATAAAAGTCACATACTGTCAATAATTATATATAATAGACATACTGGAGTTAAAAAACAACGAATAATTGCAACTAAATGGTCAGTTTATCATTAGTATAGTATGTTAGAGTAAATATAAAATAAAAGCGAATAAATTGTACAGTGATTAGCATTTGCTTTAATCAGATCAGTACGCCCTATTTTTATACTATTATAACTTTATCAGTGACTGACAAATTGTTATACAATCTTCTTTACTTTCTCTCAGAAACTCTTATTGATAACTTAATATAACACGACTGATAAATAGAAACATTTTATACTATTATAACTTTATCAGTGACTGACAGATTGTTATACAATCTTCTTTACTTTCTCTCAGAAACTCTTATTGATAACTTAATATAACACGACTGATAAATAAAAACATTTTATGCTATTATAACTTTATCAGTGACTGAGAAATTGTTATACATTCTTCTTTACTTTCTCTCAGAAACTCTTATTGATAACTTAATATAACACGACTGATAAATAAATACAGCTACAGTGTGATAAATTCCGAAAGTACAAAGAACCGGTTAAAACCTCTTTAAGGAAAGGAGAAAGAAGCGGTCAACATTTAGGCCAAAAAACATGTTTCTTGTTCTTATGTATTATTCTTCCCTTAGAATAATTGTAAAAACAAAATCTTTGTATTTTTTATAATTGTCCTTGAAGGTGGTTATTTTCTATATGCTTAAAAGACGGAAACAGTTGAAATTAGATATTTTTCGAATCGAGTGAATGAGTGAATATTATTATGATGGTATTTAAAACATAACACTTTTAAGTATAATTTTTGTATTAGTAGTTGATGCCTATTGATTACTTTGTTATTATACATGAAAGTCATATATCAAATGTACTCTCGCCCCCAGAGAGCTGAGAGAACCAGTTGGGAGGATGTTCTTTGCTGGAACAGAGACTGCCACTTCCTGGTCAGGTTATATGAACGGTGCCATTCAAGCAGGTGAACGCTCAGCGCGAGAGATTTTGTATTCCATGGGCAAAATTACTCGAGACAAGATAAACCGAGAAGAACCAGTATTTACCGTAAGACTTTTAAATATTTGGCCTAACTGACATCTAATTTCATGTATTTCTACAGTTTATTGATTTTGATAATACTTTATAATATAGTAATACATCACATAGAAATATAAAGAACATCTTGTTTTGGTTCAAACATTTTGTTCTGTTTATAATAATTCCACGTGCAACATGTGTACAAGGTAGATGTAACGTTAGCTATATAATAATTCCACGTGCAACATGTGTACAAGATAGGTGTAACCTTAGCTATATAATAATTCCACGTGCAACACGTGTACAAGGTAGATGTAACCTTAGCTATATAATAATTCCACGTGCAAGGTAGGTGTAACTTTAGCTATTGATATATTTATTTTTCTTGTTTTCGGGCTTATTAAACAAGTAATTATGAAGAGTAATCAGAGAAGCTATGAAACTATGTAAATTTTGTCTTGTATTAATTCAGTGGCATGTGTTTCAAACATTGCTGTCTATTTTATTTTATTGCCTAACAGGCAGAACACATATATCGTATCAAACTTAACCAATAGATGGCACTTTTGTATTACATTATGGGATTGATTTGTTTGTTTGCTAAAGCAAAGTTACACTACAGGCTATTGATGCTCTGTCAACCATAGGGGTGTGGGTGGGTACCACGGATTTTAGCCTTGTAAGTCTGTAATCTTACTGCTAACCCGCTATGGGAAAGGAGTTGATTATTTTCTGTGCTAACTACGAATAGTCTGTGAAAGCTGTAAAATTTTATTTTCATTTTTCAGTTGCTTATAAACTTTGAAACATTACTATATTTAATTTTGTGGATCAATAATTCTACCTAGTATGTTCAAAAGTAACCGGTAAAGCTGAAAACAAGGCTACTGGTAAAGAAGGCGCTTCTAATCCTTCAAATTAGGTAACTGAACGTGAACTAATCAACGTTCTTTAATATAAAAACAATATTTGAAAATAACGTAGTTTCGAAAAGTTGAATGTCTTTTGAAGAGAAAAAAATGTCAGTGAACTTGTATAGTAAAGAAAAGATATTGCAACGACAATAGACTCCTATGTACGAGCGATAGAGCTTTGACTTCTTTTAGGATAGTGAGTTTCGTTGACTTTTCCTTGAAATCTGAATTTATCATTTGGCAGCGCGGTTAAAGCAGCACAACAATACTGTAGTTATAATGCTGTGTACTTTACTGCTTTAAATAATCCTTCATCTGCATAAAGGTCATTCTTTCTAGGGCAAAATGCACTGGAGTTTAACAATTTGGTTTTTTAAAGGACTTTTCTGTTTTTTTAGCAATTGGAATCCTCTAAGGGTCCGCTTAGTTGATGTTGCTGTTGATTTAGTCTAAAACTACACGATTGGCTATTTGCACTCTGCTCGCCATGGGTAATCGAACCCCGGATTTTACCATTGAAAGTAAGTAAACGCTAACCCACTGGTAGACAAACCATTTAGTTATACATACTGTTACGACAGCGGTAGTCACGTGGCGCTGGTAACATGTCATGAT